ACAGAGCAAGGAACCCTCGCATCTGTGTCACCCCTGTGGGCTTCTTGGGCTCTGTCGAGGCCTCGCGGAGCAGCGGGCCTTCGGCCTCGCTCCGCCGGTCATCACGCTGCTGCTTGCCATTGTCTTGGCGAGCATGGCAGAGGGCCCAACAAGAGAAGCTGAAGACCCGGTGCCTTTAAAGCCGAATACACCTTTCAGGTGGTTCCAGCATGGAAGTGGTACATCCTTCCGACAACACTGAAGTACAGGAAGGACATGGAGGACCCGCGCAGATCCAGCAGTCTCGACCGGGCAGCAGAAGTCAACTAAAGCCTGCAATCTTGCTACTGTTTCGCTGATCTGCGCCTTGAACTCGTGCACTTGAATCTTGGGAACGTCTGAGAAGGCAACTCGCCCGGAATGTGTGTTATGCAACAGACATTGGCCCCTGGCAATGCCAGCTGATTTTTCGATCTTGTCCTGCAGGAAGGCTGGCTTCATGACACGGTTCGCCCCACAGTCACCTACATAAGCTGTCATGTTCTGCACAGAGTAGCTCGCAGTCATTGTGACTTCACTCTAACGCCTGCAAGTGCCAAGAACCGTTCTCACTTGCACAGACTCTGTGCAGGAGGCTCCCGCGCAGAGTGCAGACTTGCCCGATATCTTGCCCGGGTTCCTGGATTTGGTGGTCTCACTGACAGGTCAAGCTAATGGCGGGCCGGGCATGCTTCCGATCACGCGCTAAGGTCGCAGCCTTTGCTGACTGGCAAGCAGGTCCGAGACCCAACCTAGGAGATGACTTTCCATCATTTCTCCAAGCGTCAGGAAGTGAGCTTTCGCGAGGGCGAACCAGACGTGATAGCGACTTAGCCTCAGTCCCATGAACGTGCGGAGACCTCCGGAGAAATCGCCTCTGCTTGCTGGAGGCCTTCCCAGGGCAAAGAAGAGGCTAAGAAGCGGCTGGGGGTGCTTTGGCTTTGTCGCAGGTATGTCGCAGTAAGAGATGTCTGAGTCTGAGGCTCAAGCAAAGCAGCTGGCGGAGCTGCAAGCTGCCCTTGCCACAAAGGAGCAGGTTGTCCAGGAGGCCTGCGCCTGTTATTTATCCTCCGAGGCCAGAAGCCTTTGAAGTTTGGAAGCGGAAGTAGGACACATAGTTTTCATGTGTGGCGATGTTGCAGGAAGGAGGGGCAAGCGCTCGCCTAGAGACAGTTCGGATTATTTAGGGATGCCCTCAACCACTTTGTAGACCCTGCAGCTCTGAACCCCTAAAACCTAAAAACGCAAAATGCATGGCTGAGCTTGAGAAGGTGCTTTGTTAGGTCCCTCTTGCAGGTGCCAAAGTTGCAAGCACGGATCAAAGAGCTGGAGGCGCCGAGCGTTACGGGATCAAGGTTTTGGCAGATTCCTGGAGGGGCTGCACAAAGATGAGATAAACCCAAACTGTGGCCGCTCCAGGTGTTCTTCATCTCTTTGAGCCCTAAACCACATGCCTAAGCCGTTATGGGATGACGCTGAGCCGTAGACCCGGGGCCGACAAACACTGACAGTTCTTCAAAGCCCGAAGATGCGACGGTTCGGACTTTGTGTAGTTTAAGGTGTGGTTTCGGGCTTAGGTAGAGGTGTTTGGGGTATTTCAAAGTGCTTGTGGGTTGCGGTTTGAGGTACTGGGATTTGTGACAAGGCCCAACCGTACAGCGAATATTTCCCTTCCAATATCCCTGTACCCATTAATCAACTGAAGCCTTGGACCCCAGGGCCTCGCACTTATCATATGAATTCAGAGGGAGGGAGGGGGAGAGAGTGAGAGAGAGTTACAGCTTAGCACGATCTTCACCCAATCCTTCGGTCCCCAGGAGCATTCAGGAGTCAACACAGGATGCATATTCAGGTGATGCGCTCCCGAATACTAACCCGGAGATCCCAAAGGCTGAAACTGGCTGAAACCTTCACTTGCAAATCCCAAACCCAGAACTTACAAGATACCATCCGGTCAGGGGCTGCAGCAAGAACTCTTGCTTCTGCGGACTGCGAGCTCACAGCAGGATTGACCCGGAGCTGCAGGGGTTTCTGAGACTGGTTGTGCGTGTGTGTGTGTGTGGGCGTGTACAAGTTCTCTGTCCATGTTTGTTTGACTTCCTCTATTTTGTTGGGATTTAGATGGATTTAGCAAGGTGTTATGCAAGGCCTTGAAAGGACTAGATGTGCTTGGTTTCTCAGTGCTTATCACTACAGTAGTCAGTGTTTCCATTACTTCGTGGCTTCATCTCTGCTGCGTTGCTTGCCATGCCTGTGGCATCAGCACAGAGGATATCGTCCTGAAGCTGCGCTCGTAGTACTATAGACTTGAAGACCTCAAAAAGCTTTTTAGGCCCTAAACCTGAACTCTGAATCGAGCCGCAGAATCGCTCCCCGACAATTCGTCACCTGTTTCTCTTGGTCTGGTTCATTCTGGGGTTATAGGCCCTACATCAACCCTCTCAGAAACTTAAGCCCTATCACCAACCCTGGAGCCAAGTAATTAGCGGAGACCTCGGAAGAGTCTGAACAGCAGTGGTGATTGTTTGCCGGACCAGATACATCAAACCCGTAACCCTAAGCCCAAATCCCTACCGCACGAGGCAGACAAAGACGCAGCTACTCAGCTAGAGCTTTCCGCCCTCCGCGAGCAGGCCTCTTTGTTTGGTTTTTTGGCTTCAGACCAGCTTACCTTTGGAGTGGGGGGTAAAGAATTATCATATTACGGGTGCTTGGGTGCTTGGAGTAGAGACTGGATGAGCTAGGTCTCCGGTTCAGAGCTTCGTCTACCGGATATATCGGCTCCATCATGTGTGTCGGTGAGGCTCCTTTGTAAGGTTGCGATGCTGATCTCTAGTGTGACAAAGCAAAGGGATTGACAGCGCCAGATACATAGCCGAAGCCGGATTTCAGGGTTTCGGGTTTAGAGATTTATAGGGTTACTGGTGTTGAGGCCATGTGTGGTCAGTGCCTTGGAGCCTTCTTGTTCTACACAAGAGCAATGTGCCAATGTGCATTTAAGACCGACGGCTGTTTCTGCATAAATCATGAACAGACGAGGGGCAAATCCCATCATAGAGCACAAAGCACGTCTTGTTCATCAGTGGCTGTATTGTTTTGCAGAGATAGGACTGGAGGTCCATCAATGATGGCTTTAGCGCTTTCAGCTTCAGGCCTAATTAAGGTCCAGGTTTCAGGCATGTGTGAGGGCTTTCGATTCGAAATCAAGGTTCCTTAACTGCAGGAATGCGAAGCAAGAGGTGCCGCGATGCAGTTGAAAAAGCACCGCTCCCTCCTAAACCCTACTATGCAAGCCCATGAAGGGCGGAAGTCAAGTACGTAACAGGCGACCAGATGGTGACTCACGTGAGACAAGTATAGGTTACGACGAGCTCGGATTAAGCTGGCTCTTGATCACAGCACCTTGGCTTGTATTTCTTTCTGAGGAGGAAATCAGGTAAATTCATCCCATTCCGCACGAAGAGGCTTTCGGCATCAGTGGAATCAGGGCTGTTTTTGTAGCCTGTGTGCTCTCGAGACTGCATGCATGCTAGGGAGGTTACTTTCAGGAGGGTACCTGCGGGTGGCAGCTATCCGTTCCAAATCACTGCGCAGGTGCCACAGCTGCAAGCGCGGATCAAGGACCTGGAGGCTGCAAGGGTGTGACATGTATGACAACTTACCCAAGACAGGAAGCTTAGCCGGCGTTTTGGGATGTTGCCCCTTGGATCCGCCTGGCTTGTATCAGCCACATAGCCTCAGGAACGGCCTGGAGAAACCGGTAGGGCTCGCAGAAGACTCACAAGACTAAGAAAGAGCTCCAGAATCAACACAATCACATGGACCTCGTAGCCTTCCGCTAGGTCTCAGGTTGGCGCGCAGCAAGATATTTGTTGTATTTCATGTAGTCTTTGCATCAGCTTTACAAATTCTAATCCCGGAACTTGAACAAGGTTTCGTAAGCAAGACTTTGTCAGGACCTGTTTAGGGTTAAGACCGATTATGAAGCCCTTGTGGCGATTTCCGGTATTTTGGGCTAATCTTCAGAGTGGTTCGGGCTCGAGGTTGAGCTGTTGAGGACCCGTTTAGAGCATTTACTGGGGTCTTCTTTGATCTTGCCTTCGTCGGAGGGATGAGTGTTCATCTACATACACACATATCCCCTAGCCACTTGATGGAGAATGTGAGCGAGAATATCAAGTGCTTTGCTAAAGACCACACCTCCCCAACAGCAAAGCAACACAGCGTCGAGCCGGCGCAGATAACGACGAGGCATCCTCGCAAATCTCGTTCCGAGCTGTGCAGGCCGCTGGTCGGGCACCGGTCTGGCGGTGTACTTTTTTTTTTGTGTGTGTGTGTTGTGTGTGTGTGTGCGTGCCTTTCTGTGTGTGGTTTAGGTGTGGCTTAATGGGTTCTTGCTTTTCAATGCTTTGTCTCTCCACCATGGACCCATGGCCCTGAAGGCCCAAACTCTACTTCTTGGTGATCGAACTTGGCTTTACGTAAAGGCAGCGACTTCTTAGTGCGACGACTATGAATCCGACATGACCATATAGTTCTCCAAACCAGGGCCCCTTTTCGATCCCTCAAAATCGTATGGAACCCTTATAAAAGGGACCCTAATAATTTAGAGAACTACCCAGGTCGAGGTGCTTCACCAGTCTCCGGGATCGACACAGCTCTGACAAAGACAGCAGTCTCGTATGACGAGGTGAGCTTTTGAGTGTGGGGGTTTAGGGTTTAGGTCTTTAGCGTTTAGGGTAGAGGGCTGAGGCAGAGTGTAATAGGCTGCTTTGGGGGAGAAAACGGTATGCTTAGGGCCCTATAGACCCTCCCGCTGTAGCTGCCGACCGAGGCAAAAACATGTGTTACCCAAGCCTGGATGGAAAGCCCTCCATGTATCTTTTCGGACTTTTTGCGACATAGGGGGCATGATTTCAAACGCGAGTAAGACTCAGGACTCCTTGAACAACTTAGCAAACGCTTGAAGAAATGGTCCTCAGGCGCATGGCTTGGCTGTCACACTGGGCCCTCGTGACTTCGCACAGATTCGGGGCGGAGTGGTGATGATCACAAGGAGGCATTCCCGCGCCAGGTTCGAGACTGCTGACCTGCAGGAATGCCCGAAGTTGCCGGCGAACGTATGTCCTTTCAGCCCTATCTTGAAGCTATTGCCACACGACGCCCGCTTTGACGAGGAGCCGGTAATTCTCATTATCCGCGTCTGCACAGGTGCTCAGGTGGTATGGCGTTCAACATCGAACGGCAATTGGGAGTCGCTTCAGGATGTGGAGTTCTATCTGGGGCACGCAGTCCTGCGGTTGAATCATTTCTGCAATCTCTTCGTTGGATCTAACGGTGCCAGTTCTCCCGAACGGAAAGGGATTCTTGTTCGCGGCTTCATGGACGGAACGACACGAAGGGGCAAATGCGCAGTCTTGCACGCAAACTGTTCCTCTTGTACCGAGCAGCTGGAGTCGACGTCTGACTACCGTGCGGACCCCGAGGTCTTGAAGGGTTTCGATGAGTGCGGGCCATCTTTCTGCGCCGGCTTATACAGCCATGGAGACCGACTCACCATAGCACAGGCTCACCACTATCATCAAGACACTGCTCTGAACTTTAACCGGTTTCCGCTCGTGACCAGCCGATGCTTTCAAACTGAGCAATTTCAGTTCGAGGTGGATATCGCTGACACGGTCCATGCCTTCCGTTTCTTGACAGGAAGCAGCAGAAGCCAAGGCCCTTTCCAAGCATAGCATAGCCCCCGGGAACGACGGATTCAACGGATTAGCTAGTTAGTCTAATCAATACCCATCCTATTTAGGGGGTTCCTTCTTATCTATTCTAAGTATTAAGGCCCCTGTCTTCTGCCGCTGTGCCGAGGTCTTTGTGACGCTGCCACGACTGAGTCAGGGCACCTGCTGCCACCAGCACCACCGCCACCACCACCGCAAGCAGAGGGGCATGGGATAACGCTGCCGCCGCCGCCATCATCACTGGGAGGACAAGAAGATGGGAATGCTCCCGGATTGTCGCTAGGGCAAACATCAAGCTTAGATGTTCGTGGCGAGTTCATAGCGATTTCTATGTTGTCGATGTTGTGTTTTGTCTCCCCCATACCCCAATTTTCCCTCCACCGTCTTGACAGAACCCGCGCGTGTCTCTGTTGCATCATGGTGCATCATAGCCTAGGCATCTGATTCTGCCTTGGCATAGCGATGTGGAGGCTGGGTCCTACTCTAAAACGCCAGGTGCTACACAATCCTTGCCAGTTGGGCCGGAGAATGTTACTGAAGCGTTTGTGACTTCGGGGGAAGGTTTCCTGTTTGTGTATCCCACGACTCGCGAGGTTTACACGGCGGAGGAGCCGCACATCTTCCTGAGCACAGGCTCCAGCAACGACCAAGAAGACATTCTATTGTGCAGATGAGGGTGGAGCGGGAGAGAGAGAGAGCGAGAGAGAGAGAGAGACAGAGCGACAGAGAGCCCCAAAGACCCGCGAGGCTGTACTTTGCTGGCAAAACCCTCGGAGTTCATTGCGGATCTCCAAGCAAAAACCCTAGCCCTAGCTAGTGGATCCCCAAATCCTCCCTAATATTCCCTAATTAAGCCCCAAACCCCTAAACCCTTAACCCTAAACCTCTAAACCCCTAAACCCCTCTAAACCCTACACAATTCCTTCAAGGAACCCTTAAAGGCTAGAGGGATCCCTTGAAGCAACCCTTGCAGGTGAGCTCGAAGCCGGCCGTCTGCCCATTGCGGAGCTCTTACAGCGAGCCGCGGGGCAGCTCTAGGGGTTTCCAGGAGTTTCGGGGTTCAAATCTTCCTTGAAAGGGATCCCTAGGGTACCTTTACAGGGATCTTCGAGTTTGCGGGTTTGAGGTTTGGGTTTTTTTAGGGGCTTTGGACTTTTTTTTGTTTTTGTGGCTCTTCGGTTCCAGGGGTTTGAAGTTTAGGGTTCAGCTTTTCGGGTGTGTAGGGGCCTTCCGCGCTCTAGAAGTTCCGCAAAAAAGTCCACATATCCCGTACGAAAAACTACAAAACCTTGTAAGACAGGCCGTATGTTTACGATGGACTTTGACGATTCCGGCTTCTGTAAACACTGGCCTGGCCTGCTGCGAGGACATCTGTGCCCTTCATCTCAAGTCTGAGCCCCGAAGCCCACACTGCTCGATTCACAGATACAAGTAAGCCGAAATCTTAGACCCCTACACCGTAAAGTCACCGCAAAGCTTGACAGCCTGAAACCAAAAGCTCCAGACTCCTAAACCTCGAACTCTAAAGCCCGAAAAGCCCGGATTTGTGAGCTGCGTTTTCCATTGAGGCTCATGCCGACAGCGGCAAGGACGCCGAGCTACTTCTGCAGGCTGTGTTTTCCCGGTTTCAGGGATCTTACAGCAGGGTCCGTTGCTATTACATGCAAAAGGTATGGGGTCACAACCTCATGTTTTCGGTATGTAAGGGTCACCACGTCGGCTTCCCTTTCGCTTTCGAAATAGTCGAGAAAAGTCCTGGCACGGCCACGCAATGCACAGTAACATGGTCGGCTCACGTTAACCTACGGGCTACAACTCACATGGTTCACTAGATAGGCTCATAGTCGCTACTGCTTTTGAAGGTGGTGCCACCACCTCCGCCACCTCCACTACCACAAGAAGATGAGCATCGGTCAGAAGTCCTGGCTCAACCGCCTCCCCCACCACCAGTCGCAAAACGGACAAACATGATGGTCTCCGGGCGGTTCAACGACCAGCAAAAGATGAACTACATGAGGCACGTCAAGGAATTACTTCAGGAGAGGTCTGTTCCAGTTGATATGGTGAAGGCCAACTTTGCTAGTGCCACATTTGGAGACCAAACAGCGCAGCTCTTGTACAAGGCCAAAGCCCTGTTGCCCTTCTGCACTTGGGATTACGGCGCGAAAACTGGCATAGGGTATGAGACCTATATAGAGCTCGAGTATGCGCACCAGAAGGGGCTCGCCATTCTGCCGATCCAGCTTTGCCATGAGTTTCCACCCTGCCCCACAGATGAGGAAGGCAGGGTGCAAAATGCCTTGGTACTTAAGAGCGACTTGGTGCGGATCATAGACAAAGACATGTCGGACCCGAAGCGGGTTGCACAGGAGATCTGTGATGCCTGGTTCGGAGCAATCCAGTATATGTGACTGTGCCGCGCTTGAAGATGAGTCTGTCCTGTTCTGAGTTTTCTGGACTTTGCTCTGGCACTTCGTTGCAGGGGTCTTCCGTCCGGACGCTTTCATCCTGTTTTCATCACACACTTGAGCGGCCTATGATTTCTGCCGAAGGACTCCCGCAAGTTTTTTCCCGTAACCCCTTCCTTGATCAACGTCGAGGGTTTTAGGCGCAGAAGCCAAGAACAACAGTGACAGAGATGAGTCCTAGAGTCAGATATAGTTCTCTATGCACAACTCAGTCTACATGAACTCAAATCGGGAAAGCCAGCGCTTCAATTCTCGAGGTGTAGGCTACCGCTCACTGTCTCCAGCCCATGCTCTCGGTGCTTCCAAAGTCTCACCTGAACTGAACATATACTCTCAGTGAAATGGCCCAGACACCCGCCGTACCCTGGAGTCCATGGGTCGTGTTGAGCCGCGAAAAAATTATCGGAGTTCGGAAGCCCTGAAGCCTGCAAGGTTCAGGGTTTGAGGGGTTACAGGGTTCGGGGTTTAGGGTTTAAGATCCTTGAGAATTCAAAAGCCTCGAAATCTCACGGCCGTCACGTTCGAGGCTGTACTCTTGTGTTTGGCTGCAGCGGTCTTTGTGGACTTTGGGAGCTGCACCTAGCAGCTAGCATTCGGGGTTGCAGGCCAAGGTGGGTGTAAGCCGCAATATTACACACTTGCTCCGGTTTAGCTGTTCAATTTCCCTGGGCTTACAGTCGGAGGCTACAGCACACTTCGGTCTAGGATTTAGGATGTAGGGGTTTAGGGTATAGGGTTTAGAGTCTAAGGGACATAGTTATAGTCTTCATGACCGGCAAAGCTGCAATGAGAAATACGTCATACTCAGTCCTGGCAGCCTTCGGGAAGACCAAGAAACTTTTGCAGCTTCTGCCGGATCCCCAACCCGAGCTGTGCTTCGTGCCGCAAGAAAACGTGCGATGGCAACCTAAACCCTCAACCCTTAACCCTAAACCCTCAACCCTAAACCCTAGTTCGTCCATGAGGACTCAGCAGGCAGACTCGCATATGCACAGTGCCAAATCTGCTTGTCAGCGATCCAGCTACACGGTTTAGGGTTTTGCCGAAAATTGGTGCGTTCGTTTAGAGTTGTCATGATGCATGTATGGTGCCTTGTCTAGCAGTCTAGCAGCTGCACACCAACAGCGAAACGAAACTGTGCAGCTCTGAGAGCGCATAAAGATCGCATCACGGTTTAAGGTTTTGGGGTTTAGGGTTTAGGGTCCGCAGTGTCAGACATCAAGCGTGGTGGAACCCCCATGGCTGTGTGGGCCGGCCCGTGAGACGAATCATGCCATCGCGACTTTGCCAACCCCCCGGCCAGCAATAGGGGCCCGCGGGGGTGCACGGGAAATGGCAAGTGCAACATGTTGTGGATGTGGTGGCCCATCTGTTGCGAGCAGCACCTCACCGCTTTGCATGATCTGCACACTATGAAAGAACTCCGGCCCTGGGCATTCTAGGGACTAGCTACAACTATAGTCGGTACATTGTAGGGTCAATGTACATTATAAATTTGTTACTGTCTGAAGCTTGAGTTCTTTGGAGCAGTGGGGCTTCACGACACTGTTTTTGAAACAGATTGGTTTTGTTGACATTGGACGGCGCTTTGAACATCATGTGGCCAGTTTAGACGGATCCAGAGCAGCAAGATTTCGCAGGATTTGGGCAGGAAGGTGCATGTTTCGCAGGGCAGAAAGACGAACATGGCAGTTTTTGAAGTAAGCTAGTTCTTTTGACATTTAGCCCTGCTTTGAAGATTGTGTCGCAAGTGTTATATAGTTCAATTTCGCAAGATTTGAGCAGGAAGGTGCCTTTTTCACACGGGAATCGAACATGAAAAATGCAGCTTTTGAGGTAAGCGAGTTTCTGTCGGCATAGAAGTCTGCTCTGTAGATTGTGTGGCCAGTGTTGACAGGGCCGTGAAATTTCGCAAGCCGTCAGCATGAGCGTGCATGTTTATGCATGGGAGACAAGGATGAAAACGGCAGTTTTTGAGTACGTCATTTGTTTTTGACATTGGACGGTGCTCTGAAGACTGTCTGGCAAGGCATATGTGTATGTGTTTAAAGCAGTGAAACCTTGCCAAAGAAAACCCAAAGTACATGCAGCAGTCTAAACCCTAAGCCGGAAATCCGTGAATCCTACACCCTAAACCCTGCAATTGGGAAAGGCACCCCCGCAAAAAAACACAAAAAAGTCCAGACGCAGCAGCATCAACCCTGATTTCTAAACGCCAAACCCGAAGAAAGCCTGAATTGGAAGCACTAAACCTGTAACGTTGAACTCCAAACCTTAAACCCTTGATGCCAAACCCAAACCTGAAACCTGAAACCCTAAACCCGAGACCCCACACCCTAACCCCCAAACCCAGGCATCTCGGTTGCC